TATTGATTCCAAAGCTAATGGAAGCCATAACTTAAATATCAGCAATGGCCATTTAGAAAAGTAATTACAAGGCCGGGCACAGGGGCTCACACCTGTAATCCCAGCATTTTGGGAGTCTGAGGTGTCAGGAATACTTGAGGTCAGGAGTTTGAGACCAGCCCAGCCAACATGGAGAAACCCCATCTCTACTAAAAATACAAAAATTAGCCGGGCATGGTGGCACACACCTGTAATCCCAGCTACTCAGGAGGCTAGGGCAGGAGAATTACTTGAACCTGGGAGGCGGAGATTGTGGTGAGCCAAGTCATTTTTTTTTTAAACCCTCTTAAGTCACTAGCTGGGAACACTATTATAGTTTAGCATACTGCTTAAGAGCAGAAACTCTCAGCTCGACCATTTTCTGGCTGAATAATCTATGGCTTGTTGGTTTAAATAATCTTTTCCTCAATTTTTTAATCTACAAAATAAAAGTAATAAAGGCATCTACTACACAGAGTTGCTATGAAGATTAAAGCCATTAGTATATATAAAGTGCTTAGAAGAGTCCTTAGCAAAAAAAAAAAAAAAAAAAAGAAGAGTCCTTAGCAGGTAATAGGTGTCATATAAGTGTTATTATTATTATAATTGCTATCATTGCTGGAAAGAGAATAGTAATATTGTTGGACTTCTTTATTTTTATTTATTTATTTATTTTGAGACGGAGTCTCACTCTGTTGCCCAGGCTGGAGTGCAGTGGTGTGATCTCAGCTCACTGCAACTTCTGCCTCCTGGGTTCAAGCAATTCTCCTGCCTCAGCCTCCCGAGTAGCTGGGGACTACAGGTGCGTGCCACCATGCCCAGCTAATTTATGTATTTTTAGTAGAGACGGGGTTTCACCATGTTGGACAGGGTGGTCTCAAACTCCTGACCTTGTGATCCACCAGCCTCAGCCTCCTAAAGTGCTGGCATTACAGGCATGAGCCACTGCGCCTAGCCCTTTATTCCATTTTATTGCTGAATAATATTCCATTATATGGATATGCCACATTTTTTTAATCCATTTATCAGTTAATACATATTTGAGCTGTTTTCCATTTTTATTTATTTATTTATTTATTGAGACAGAGTCTTGCTCTGTCACCCAGGCTGGAGTGTCATAGTGTGATCTCAGCTCACTGTACTTTCTGCCTCCCAGGTTCAAGCGATTCTCGTGCCTCAGCCTCCCACATAGCTGAGGCTACAAGCGTGCACCACCACACCCAGCTAATTTTTGTATTTTTACTAGAGACAGGGTTTCTCCATGTTGTCCAGGCTGTTCTTGAACTCCTGACCTCAGGCGATCCACTCATCTCAGCCTCCCAAAGTGTTGGGATTAACAGGTGTGAGCCACTGCACCCAGCCCTATTTTTGATTATTACAAATACTGCTATGAACATTTGTGTACAAGTTTTTATGTATACATGTTTTCTCATTTCTCCTGTTACCTACCTAGAAGCAGAATTTCAAGGTCATATAATGACTCTATATTTAATATTTGAGGAGCCAACAATTTTTTTTTCGAAAGTGGCTATACCATTTTACATTCCCACGAAGCAGTGTATACGGGTTCTAATTCCTTCACATCCTCCCAAACACTTGTTATAACCATGCTGGGGTCTGTGACGTGGTATCCAAATGCATCTTTAAGATGCAAAAACAGAAATACATTGGGCAAGGAAGTAAAATCTTTTATGACAAGAGAAAGATGAAGGAAATTAAACAAAGGGTCCTGCAGTTAAGCTGAAAAAGGAACCAAGTGATATTTTTAGGTCTGTTAGTTCCTTGTTCTTATACAACCAATTGCCCTTTAGAAAGTGTCAGGATTGTGGAGCTAGCCTCCAATCTCACATCTGGAGGTTACGGTGGTCATAACAACACTCTTCTTGCTTTATTGATTTATTTTACAAAGTTTCTTCCTGTATTGCACTCTATTTGATCCAATACCACAAATCTTCTGTGGGAAGATATTATTATTCCCATTCTGTAGGAAAGGGTGCTAAGAACTAGTGAGGTTAAGTGACTTGCTTAAGGGGGCATAGCTATAATTAAAGAAAGAAAAAGAAATGGATAGAACTGGGGCTCGAGGCCAAATTTTTTATTTCCAGTCCCAGTCCTTGGTTTCCTCTTATGTCCTCCACCTCATCTTTGATGACCCAGAATGTAATGTAAAGCAAGAAAAAGCAGAGGGGAACTGGGAGTGTGTGAAGCTCTTAGAGGCAGGAGGCTTGCACATTACAAAGCACTTACAATCCTGCAGAGAGAGGGCAGCTGCAGACAGAAGAACGCTTTGTGAAGTGACAATAATGACTGAACTCTCAACCCTCCAATAACTAGAAAACCAGGCATACGACCACTTTAATTTCTAAATTCTGCCTATTATACTACTCTGTACTAATAGAAGTATATCGAATACTTATAATATTCATTGAACTTGTTACTAAGCAGTTACTATGCGCTAGTTACAGTGCCAAAACAGTTGAGATTAAAAAAAAAATAGAGAGCAATGATTAAAATTTTCCAAAGTAGAATTAAATGGCTAATATTTACCAAGCCTTTTCTTGAAAGAGGAGTGTCATCAGAATAATATTCCATAGAAAAGGAAACTGAGGCAGAGAGGCTAAACGTATTGTCCTAAAGTTACAGAATAAATGGTGGAGGCAGAATAAGAACCCAGGCAGCCTTGTTCGATATCCTGTGCTCTTCACCACCACACAATCTTTCCTGCCAGATCTTGCTTGGCTGGAAGTCACACAGGGTGATGCAGAGAGACCAATAATCCTAATTAATTCCAGGAAGTATTTGTTGAATGCTCATTAATTCATGAAGCCCAGGGGCAAATTCTCACAACAACTATATGAAATACATTCATCTTCATTTTCTTTTTCAAATGTGGAAACAGAGACTCAGAGGAGTGAATTTACTTATCCCAGGTCAGAGAACTCTACCTTAGCTAATGTTGACCTGGTGCTTAATATGTATGTATCAGAAACTGTTCTAAGCACTAACTCACCTAATCCTCATTGTAACACTCTGAGGTAAATTCCATTATTATCCACCATTCTTCTTTTTTTTTTTTTTTTTAAGCAGAGTCTCGCCCTCTGTCACCAGGCTGGAGTAGTGGCACGATCTGGGCTCACTGCACCTCCACCTCCCAGGCTCAAGCGAGTCTCCTGCCTCAGCTTCCTGAGCAACTGGGACTACAGGCGTGTGCCACCACGCCCAGCTAATTTCTGTATTTTTCATAGAGATGGGGTTTCACCATGTTGGCCAGGATGGTCTAGAACTCCAGGCCTCAAGGGATCCACCCACCTTGTCCTCCCAAAGTGCTGATTATGGATATGATAACTTGTCCAAGGTCCCACACTAGTAAGTAGCAAAGCCAAGATTCAGTCTAGCTTAAAGTCCTCCTTGAAACAACTTAACACTGATACTTGCTTACATAATGGTGAAGCAGTCATTCAAACCCAGGTCTAACTCCTGAGTTAAAGGATGGCGCTCAAAACTGCTGCAGTGAAGAGAGTGCTAGAAAAGAGGGGAATAACAGGTGCTCTGGGGACTGTGAAGAAGAGGCACTTAAAAACTGCATTTTGAAGGAAAAAGCGCTTGCTGGACAAAAAGAGCCATCACAAAATTTAGTATTTGTAAAAGAAACAAAAAGCAAGTAACCCTATCCAACGGAAGACTTTTAAGAAGGTGGCCCAGTAATGAAGAGCAAAGAAATTAAACTTAGAAAATGTTTCACATTAAATCAGAAAAGTCTTATTTTAATGTTTTCATTAGAAAGTACTCTTGATGAAGGAAAACAAGTTTGTATTCCCTTTAATTTTGACCACATATTTTAAAAAATCGGCAAAGAATGGATACGTGCAATTTGCCTTTTGTAACGTTAAAAATCAGTTAATTCTGACTTCCTATATTGGTCTTTTCCCGAGATCTTTGCAAGATACTCTTTCAGGTCTTGAAGCACAGCCATTTAGAAACCAAAATGAGTAGGGGAATTCAAGCTAAGAACTAGAAGGAACAGGGGCCCTCACAAGTTGTGGCTCAAACGCTGCAGAGCTGGGTTTTCTTTTTCCCTGGCAAACTGATTTATGACCACACGAAGGGCAGCTGCGGAACCAGTTAGACCTTAAGTCCGATTGCCAAACAGCCCTAAAGGAAGGACCAGACAGGGATGGGAATGGCAAGGGGGGGTCTGGGGGTCGTCGCTTGTTCTCAAGTTTCGTGAGACGCGGCAAGTCCTAATTCTTGCAGCAGCCAGGGTCCTCATGAATCCCGCTGCCCCAAACGTGCGAGCCCGGGGAGTTGGCACAGCCTCAAGGCAGCCCGACAAGGTGCCTCCACGCCCCCTTGCGGACCCAAATGATTGAGGATGATGTGCCGGTTAACTGATAGGTGCAGGGTTTCAGAAATGCTCTCTCCATTTAGCCCCACAAAAGCCCTTCAAATGAGGCGCGGTGATCAGCCCTATTTTACAGATGGAAAACACCGAAGCTCAGGGGAGTGAAGGAAGACTTGTCAGCAAGAAGGAAAACCTAGTGAAGGCTATCATTGGTCTTGCTCCTCTCACTCCTCTACTCAAGGAGTAGAGGGGCTGGGGTAGCCTTGAGACCCCACATCAACCCCTCTTGCTCTCTTGGCCCGGAGGCCTGGCGGCGTGCAGGTACCCGGGAAGAGGGAGAGCGCGGTGGGTGGCAGGGACTCTGTCCCGCATAGGGCTGCAGCAGCCAGTTTAGGGCGCAGCGCGCACCACCCGCTCGTTGGCTTCAGCCCAGCAGCCCCGCGTGGCGAGTCCCCAGGGAGCTGGGCTGCAAATGCTGAGCGCGGGCGCACAGACGACCATCCACGTGGGGCGCCCGCAGCTGTCCGGGCGCCCCACGCGAGTCGCAAGCCACGAGCCAGGGCGCGCGTGCGCGCAGCACTGCAGCGGGCACGGGTTGGCAGTGCCACCGTGAGCCCACCCGCTGTGTCTCTTGCCTTACCGTAGCTGCTCCCCGGTGACCAAGACCTCAGCCATGCGCTCCAGCTCTCTTTGCTGCGCCCCGCCGCTCCCGCTGGTGCGGCTGTCACTGCCAGCGCTGCCAGCGCTGCTGCCCTCTTCCATGGTTGGAGCCGCGCTGCTACCACTGGCTCCGCTGTCCGCCGAGGGTTTGGGTGTTCGGATCAGTCTGCCCTCACTGACGCCTCCCCCGCCATCTTTGTTAGGGGCAGCTCCACTGCTCTGACCGGATTGGTTGAAGAGGGAATCCCTGTAGGTAGGCAGAAGCGCTGGGCTAGTCCGGCCTCAGACACTGGAGTTTGGGGGCGTGGCTAGAGCCCCTCGTGGTCGGGGGGCGGAGCCGATGGAGGAAAATATAAACATCTGGGCGGGGCGCTGCATCCTAGCTGTGTGTGCGGCTGGAGGCTGAATTTGGTGAGCTCTCTTTACCCACAAAGCTCATGCTATGGAACCATGGGGAGAGGCCTGGAAGTTACTAGGGAAGTGTGAAGGCGTTTTTATTGTACGTTCCATACCCCAAGTTGCCAGAGAGCAAAACGTAATAACAATATAGCCACATGGTTAACTGTGAAGGTTATACATTGTCACTACAGAGCAGGAAGAAATTAACCCTTCTTCTGGCTCCAGCCTCTTTCACCAAAGACAACTTGTTTGCCTTATGACGTAATCAATAAGGAATGCCGGCCTAGGAATCTGGCTGACCTGGGATCCAGCTCCACTCCTGTATTGTCCTATTTAAATGTGTTTAGTTGTCCCTTACAAAATAAAAATAATTTGGGCCGGGAGCGGTTGGCTCACGCCTGTAATCCCAGCACTTTGGGAGGCCGAGGCGGATGGATCACCTGAGGTCAGGAGTTCGAGACCAGCCTGGCTAACATGGTGAAACCCCGTTTCTACTAAAAATCCAAAAAATTAGCTGGGCGTGGTGGCGCGTGCCTGTAATACCAGCTACTCAGAAGGTTGAGGCAGGAGAATCGCTTGAATACAGGAGGTAGAGGTTGCAGTGAGCCAAGATTCCACCATTGCACTCCAGCTTGGGCAACAAGAGCAAAACTCCATCTCAAAATAAATAATTAATTAAAAAATAATAATTGTGGCTACCACTTTTTGACATTAAAGATACTTCAGATATGTTATTACCTCATTTAATTATTACAATAAATCATAAAATGGGTATTGTGTTTGTTTTGCATCAGGATGCAGGCTTGGAGAGGTGAAGTTATTTGTCTAAGGCAAGCAGATAATAATTAAAAGAAGAACTCAAACCCAGGCCATTCTGGCTTCAAAGTTAGGTTTTGAAAAGACTGAAAGACTGCCTCTTAAAATGGGGATACAATGGTATTGTCTACCTGTAAGAGATAATGAAAGGAACTTTGATTAGTACCAAATAAATACTCTGTTTTTTCTGTTTCATGCAGTCAGAGTTGGTCTGCAGGAAGGCCAAGTAATGCTTATGGCAGTATTCATGTGTGTTGAGTATTTATTCTACGCTTTATATGGTGCTAAACACCTTGTTTTTTGTTGTTCTTTGTGAGATGGAGTCTTGCTCTGTCACCCAGGCTGGAGTGCAATGGCGCGATCTGGGCTCACTGCAACTTCCGCCACCTGGATTCAAGCGATTCTCCTGCCTCAGCCTCCTGAGTAGCTGGGACTCCAGGCGCATGCCACCACACCCGACTAATTTTTTGTATTTTTAGTAGAGATGGGGTTTCTCCATGTTGGCCAGGATAGTCTCAATTTCCTGACCTCGTGATTCACCCGCCTCAGCCTCCCAAAGTGCTGGGATTACAGGTGTGAGCCACCGCACCTGGCCAACACCTTCTTTATGTTATTTCATTTTATCCTCACAAAAACTCTAGAGTTTGATATTATTTTCAATTACAAATGAGAAAGCTTAAGTGTGGAAAGATGAAGTAATTTGCCTAGAAAGTTAGGTGGCCCTGATGCCCTGGTTCTGCAGATTCCCAAGGCCACGCTCAGCCCCACTCCAGAAAGAGAATAGCTGTCCAGCTCTCCTTTGAGCATCCGTGAGCAGACCAGCTCTTAATCTGCATGAAACAGATGTTAGGCGACAGTTTTGCCAAAAGAAATTATTTAAGTTACTTAACTTTTTAAATAGGCCACAATAGACGTGTGGACCAATGAAGACCTGGTTCTAGGTGACTGTGACTCTAAGAGCCTATTCTGCATAAAATATATAAATCATTGAATAGAACTTCCAGAGTTAACGAGATTAAAAGGTGTCTGTTGCTCATGTTTTAATCTTATAACTACTACATAGAATATCAAGAGTTTGTACAAGCTTCTCAGTCAAATGTGAAATTTCTATCCCAATTCTGTCATTTGCTAATTTTGCAACCTTATGCTAGTTACTTCTCTTGGCCTCCCTTTCCTATCAATAAAACAGAAATAATCATTCCTACTTCATAGAGATGTTGTGTGGCTTACATGAAATAACATGTAATCTCAGTTCTTTGGGAAGCTAGAGAGCGAGGATTGCTTGAGGCCAGGAGTTCAATACCAGCTGGGCAACATAGCAAGACCCTGTCTCTACAAAAACAAACAAACAAACAAAAACTTGTAAATTACCCAGGCATGGTGGTGCACACCTGTAGTCCCAGCTACTGGAGAGACTGAGGTGGAAGGATCACTTGAGCCAGGAGTTCAAGGTTACATGAGCTGTGATCACACCACTGCACTCTGGTAAGGGTAACAAAGCAAGACCCTGACATGAAAGGAAAAAAGAGAGAAAGTGAGAGGAAGCAAGAGAAGAAGCAAGGAAGGAAGGAAAGTAGGAAGGAAGGGAGGAAGGGAGGGAGGGAGAGAGGGAGGGAGGGAGGAAGGAAGGAAAGAAAAGAAAATTTCTATTATGTAAAGTTTCCAAGATCCATGTCAGTAACACAAATTTTAAGATAAAGAAAATTCTTAACACAAAGAAAAGAAAATTCAAGTCAGGAAAATAACTGATGCTACTGCTCCAGCGACAGTGAGAGAGCATGATTTATTTTTCTTGCCTGACAAGAAGTATGAGTGTGTGGTGGGGTTGGGGGTTGTGTGTATAGGTAGGTATATGTGAACAGAAAATAGGAATTGGTTTGGTTATTGTTTTAACCTTTTTTTTTTATTCCTGAGACAGAGTTTCACTCTTGTTGCCCAGGCTGGAGTGCAATGGCGTGATCTCAGCTCACTGCAACCTCCTCCTCCTAGGTTCAAGTGATTCTCCTGCCTCAGCGTCCCGAGTAGCTGGGATTACAGGCATGTGCCACTGTGCCCAGCTTATTTTGTGTTTTTAGTAGAAATGTGGTTTCTCCATATTGGTCAGGCTGGTCTTGAACTCTGAATCTCAAGTGATCTGCCCACCTTAGCCTCCCAAAGTGTTGGGATTACAGACGTGAGCCATCGCACCCAGCCTTAACCTTTCTTTTGACATATACCTGGCTCCGCTGGGTAAGAAGACAGACCCTTTTACCTAACTTAGGGAAAAATTGTTCAGCCAAATCCTGAGGACATGTCCATAACTGTGAGCCCAGGAGCAACTGGTTCCTGATAAACTGTGATTTTTTTTTTTCTTTTAGATATTGATCAAAGAGAAAAGGGCACTGATATGGCAATTCGTTCAGCATAAATATTTTAGAAAAACAGAATTCTGACAAACCTTGGTTTGATTCTTGCCATGTTTGGGCGAGTTCATTATCTTCTCTGAATTTGCTGTCCTCTTTTGTAAAGTTAAGATCATAACACCAATCCGATTGGGTTATTGGGAGGATTAAATACAATTTAATGAAAGCATTTATTCCAGATGGGAACTATTAAGTGTGAGCTTTCTCTTCTAGCTCTCCACATTTGCCACTTTCATGCCTTCTGTCTGTTTTGGTGCTTTTGGGCCATGTTTCTCAAAGGTTTGGTGGGGAAAAAACCAGGTGTGTGTGTGTGTGTGTGTGTGTGTGTGCGCGCGCGCGCATGCACACTCGTGCTTTCAACCCATTGAAGCCTGAAACATTGATGAAATACAATAATAAAAATAAAGCCAGCACAGTGGCTTACACCTGTCACCCCAGCATTTTAGGAGGACAAGGCGGGCAGATCATCCCAGCACTTTGGGAAGGCAAGGGGGGCAGATCACAGGAGTTCAAGCCCAGTCTGGCCAACGTATGAAACCCTGTCTCTACTAAAAACACAAAAATTAGCCAGGTGTGTTGGCAGGTGCTGGTAATCCCAGCTATTTGGGAGGCTGAAGTGGGAGAATTGCTTGAACCTGGGAGGCAGAGTTTGCAGTGAGCTGAGATCATGCCCAGTTAGCAAACCATGCTTGAAGTAGCACTGGTGTAAGAAACTCTTCCTAAGGGTCAGCAGCAATGTGAGGAGATGAACTTGAATTGATAAAATGCGTGAAAATGCTGTCAGCTATGAAGTTGTTTTTTTTTTTTAAATGGAGTCTCGCTCTGTAGCCCAGGCTGGAGTGCAGTGGCGTGATCTCGGCTCATTGCAACCTCCGCCTCCCAGGTCCCTGTTCAAGCAATTCTCCTACCTCAGCCTCCCAAGTAGATGGGATTACAGGCACGAGTCTCCATGCCCAGCTAATTTTTGTAAGTTTTTGGTAGAGATGGGATTTCACCATGTTGGCCAGTCTGGTCTTGAACTCCTGATCTGCCCACCTCAGCCTCCCAAAGTGCTGGAATTACAGGTGTGAGCCACTGCGCCCAGCCAGCTATGAAGTTTAATATGTTAGCTGTCATGGTTATTGTTGTGTTTTAATATGCATTAGTATTATTCCTGCCTGATTTTAATTTATTTGCTTATTTACTTGAGACAGAATCTCTGTCAACCAGGCTGGAGTGCAGTGGTGCTATATTGGCTCACTGCAGCTTCTGCCTCCCGGGTTCCAGTGATTCTTCTGCCTCAGCCTCCTGGGTGGCTGGGATTACACGCATGTGCTAAGAGATGAAGATCTCACCATGTTGGCCAGGCTGGTCTCGAACCCCTGACCTCAGGCGATCTTCCCATCATCCTCCCAAAGTGCTGGCATTACAGGAATAAGTCACCCTGCCCAGCCATCCTGCCTGATTTTAAAGACTAACTGAAATGCCACCTTCTCTGTGCCATTGTCCTGCACTTCTCCAAGCAGTTTATTGCCCAAGGGGTTCACCTTGCCCACTGCCTAGAAAGAGCCGATTCATCAAGACGGGAATTGCAATAGAGAAAGAGTAATTCATGCAGAGCCAACTGTCCAGAAGACCAGAGTTTATTTTTGTTTTTATGTTTTATATACTTTAAGTTCCGATATACATGTGCAGAACATGCAGGTTTATTACATAGGTAAATGCATGCCATGGTGGTTTGCTGCACCCATTGACCCATCATCTACATTAGGTATTTCTCCTAATGCTATTCCATCCCTAGTCCCCCACCCCTCCGAAACACTCTGGTGTCTGATGTTCCCCTCCCTGTGTCCATGTGTTCTCATTGTTCAACACCTAGTTATGAGTGAGAACATGCAGTGTTTGGTGTTCTGTTCCTGTGTTTGTTTGCTGATAATGATGGTTTCCAGCTTCATCCATGTCCCTGCAAAGGACACAAACTCATCCTTTTTATGGCTGCATAGTATTCCATGGCATATATGTGCCACATTTTCTTTATCCACTCTATCATTGATGAGCATTTGGGTTGGTTCCAAGTCTTTGCTATTGTGAATAGTGCTGCAATAAACATACGTGTGTGTGTGTGTGTGTGTGTGTGTGTGTGTGTGTGTGTCTTTATAGTAGAATGATTTACAATCCTTTGGGTACATACCCAGTAATGGCATTGCTGGGTCAAATGATATTATGTGAAAAAAAGCTCATCACCACTGGTCATTAGAGAAATGCAAATCAAAACCACAATGAAATACCATCTCACACCAGTTAGAATGGCAGTCAGGAAACAACAGATGCTGGAGAGGATGTGGAGAAATAGGAATGCTTTTAAACTATTGGTGGGAATGTAAATTAGTTCAACTATTGTGGAAGACAGTGTGGGGATTCCTCATGGATCTAGAACCAGAAGACCAGAGTTTTATTACTACTCAAATCAGTCTTCCTGAGCATTCAGGGAGCAGAGTTTTTAAGGACAACTTGGTGGGTGGGGGAAGCCAGTGAGCCAGGAGCGCTGATTAATCAGGGGTGAAATTGTAGGGTGGTGAAGCTGTCTCCCTGCACTGAGTCAGTTCCTGGGTGGGGGTCCCCCAAGATCACACAAGCCAGTTAATGGATCTTGGCAGTGCCAGCTGATCTATCAAGTGTAGGGTCTGCAAGATATCTCAAGCCCTGATCTTAGGAGCAGTTTAGGGAGGGTCAGAATCTTGTGGCCTCCAGCTGCATGACTCCTAAACTGGAATCTCTAATCTTGTGGCTAATGTTAATCCTGCAGAGGCAATCTAGTCCCCAGGCAAGAAGGAGGTCTGCTTTGGGAAACGGCTGTTACCTGTAATCCCAGCTACTAGGGAGGCTGAGGCAGGAGAATCGCTTGAACCCAGGAAGTGGAGGTTGCAGTGAGCCGAGATCGCACCATTACACTACAGCCTGGGCGACAAAGCAAGACTCCCTCTCAAAATAAATACGTGCATACATACATACATGTAAAAATCGAAAAAAGTACAATTTCCATGGCTTTTGTCATTCACACCTGTTTTTAATATTTTGTCATATTCAAGTCATCTTTTTGTAGTAATAGAAATAAAACATTACAAATAAAGTTGACATCTTCTTGTCTTTCATTCCCAACCCTGCTCCCCTCTCACGAAGTCTTACTAGTCTTTTTTTTTAGACAGAGTTTCGCTCTTGTTATCCAGGCTGGAGTGCAATGGTGCGATCTTGGCTCACCACAACCTCCGCCTCCTGGGTTCAGGCAATTCTCCTGCCTCAGTCTCCTGAGTAGCTGGGATTACAGGCACGTGCCACCATGCCCAGCTAATTTTTTGTACTTTTAGTAGAGACGGGGTTTCACCATGTTGACCAGGATGGTCTCAATGTCTTGACCTCGTGATCCACCCGCCTCGGCCTCCCAAAGTGCTGGGATTACAGGCCTGAGCCACCGCACCCGGCGCCTTACTAGACTTAACCTTGGTTCCCTCATGGGCTTGAATGTTTAATACCTTGATGTATGCTGCCACCTAGTGGTTGCACTCGCAGTGACACTAAATGCTTGTAGGTCTCCTATAGAAAAAGGGTCACCCCCCAAGAGGGTTTGTTGGGAAATTTGGGGTGGAGGCTATGGTGTGTCATATTATTGGGAATGCTACTCGGTTTAGTGACTGAAGACTAGGAATGCTAGATAGTCTCACTTGTTTGGGACAGCAACTCACAAAATAATTGGGTTGTTCCATATCCTGAATATTTTTCTTATGAGGTATTTTTGTCACAATTTTAGTATATAGCCTGGGCTCGGTGACTCACCTCTGTAATCCCAGCACTTTGGGAGGCCAAGGTGGGTGGATTGCCTGAGCTCAGGAGTTTGAGACCAGGCTGGCCAACATGGTGAAACCTCAACAAAAAATACAAAAAAATTAGCCAGGCATGGTGGTGCATGCCTGTGGTCGCAGCTATTTGGGAGGCTGAGTGGGAGGATCACTTGAGCCTGGAAGGTGGCAGTTGCAGTGAGTTGAGATCGCACCACTGCACTCTAACTTGGGTGATTAGAGTGAGACCCCATTAAAAAAATTAGCATATAATCCGGAATGGTGAGGAAAGTAATTATTCTGTACACGGAAAAAAGATTGTTCCATTCAGAATGTTACTAATAAAGGTTTATCATTGAATAACGTTACTCCTCTTTTGTGCTATTTGTGTGGCATGCACATCTCCAGTATAAAACAACTTCAGTCTGCATTTGGTAGCTGTCACGTGTGGGATGATTCTATGTGTGTGATGAACAGGAATATATTAATATATTATCCAGCCAAAGTTTAAGATGCCAAGTATAAAAAAGAAATGATGGCAATATTCAGCTAAATATTGTCTTAAATTTTCTTACTCTAAAATTATTCATTATGAGTAGTTGTTTTTTTTTTTAAAGATGGGGTTTCACCATGGTGGCCAGGCTGGTCTTGAACTCCTGACCTCACGTGATCCACTCACCTCAGCCTCCCAAAGTGCTAGGATTACAGGTGTGAGCCACTGTGCCTGGCTTCATTATGAGTAGTTGTAAACATCTGACTACAACTATCTCATTAGGCCTTCTACTGTAATCATTTAAATGCTGAAATATACATTATTACTATTATGAGACAGAGTTTTGCTCTTGCTGCCCAGGCTGGAGTGCAATGGTGCAATCTTGACTCACTGCAACCTTCGCCTTCCAGGTTCAAGTGATTCTCCTGTCTCAGTCTCCCAAGTAGCTGGGATTACAGGTATGCGCCACCATGCCCAGCTAATTTTGTATTTTTAGTAGAGATGGGGCTTCTCCATGTTGGTCAGGCTGGTCTAAAACTCCCAACCTCAGGTGATCCACCCACCTTGGCCTCCCCAAGTGCTGAGATTGCAGGTGTGAGCCACTGTGCCAGGCCTATGTTATTGAATTATACATAATTCCTCTTTTTTTTTTTACACTCTATTAAGGACATTGTATTGATTTTTCAAATTATGTACACAGCAAGGTTATATTATTTATGAATTTAATGATGACAAAATAAAATGAGAGTTACATATCTGTTATTTACTTATTTATTTATTGAGACGTAATCTTACTCTGTCACCTAGGCTGGAGTGCAGTCACGTAATCTCAGCTCACTGCGACCTCTGCCTCCTGGGTTCAAGCGATTCTCGTGTCTCAGCCTCCTAAGGAGCTGGGAATACAGGTGCCCACCACCATACCCAGCTGATTTTTGTATTTTTAGTAGAGATCAGGTTTCACCACATCTCAGGTGATCCACCTGCCTCAGCCTCCCAAAGTGCTGAAATTACAGGTGTGAACCACTGTGCCTGGCCATGTATCTGTAATTTTTAAAGGAGACATTGAATTACATGGGGTTGAGAATTTTTTAGGTGGAATAATAATAGATTATCTTTATTGTGTTCTTGCTATGTGCCATGTTCCAAAAGTATTACATTTATATCTCAAAATAACCCTGTGAGTCAGTTATTTTCCTTCCCATTTTCAGATGAGGAGACTGAGGGCCCGAGAGGACTAGGCAAGTCTACTGTAGTAGAGTAAGTGATAGCGGTTGGGTTTGAAGCCAGCCACTCTGGCTTTAGCAGCCCCTCTGGAAGTTCCTCCATTCTACTGCCTCTCCATAGAGACAGATCACTGAGCCCCAAGCTCTCCCCACAGGCCAGTCACTCTGTTGTTTGTTTGTTTGTTTGTTCTGGAGATGGAGTTTCTCTCTTGTTGCCCAGGCTGGAGTGCAATGGCACAATCTTGGCTCACTGCAACCTCCTTCTCCTGGGTTTAAGCAATTTTCCTCCTCAGCCTCCCAAGTAGCTGGGATTATAGGTGTGTGCCACCATGCCTGGCTAATTTTTGTATTTTCAGTAGAGATGGGGTTTGGCTATGTTGGCCAGGCTGGTCGGTCTCGAACTCCCGACCTCAGGTGATCCACCCACCTCAGTCTCCCAAAGTGCTGGGGTTATAGGTGTGAGCCACCGTGGCAGGTGCAGTAGCTCTGTTTTATATGCTTTACTGGCCTCACCACAAGCCGGTGATGTAAGTGTTATTACCTCCATGCTGCCTAGCCACTGAGACTCCCGGCTGTCTCCACTATTGGCTGTTTCAGACTAAGGATGTGATGGTAACATCAACTTCACAGAATTGAATGAGAAGTTCAAAGAAGCTTTGCAAGTACCTGGTATTAGTTCTATCCCCTACAGGCTTTGATAATCGGCCAGTGCTTTCTGACTACATTAAATAAATGGGAGCCAGGGACAGTGATAAGCTACTTGGGAGGCTGAGGTGAGAGGATCACTTGAGCCAGGAGTTCTAGGCCATCCTGGGCAACATAGTGGGACTCCATTTCTCAAAAAAAAAAAAAAAAAAAAAGGAGGGGAAGCAATGACAGTTCTCTGAGATCTCCCTGCTCTGACTCCTGCATTGTCATACCCCTCTGTTAGCATCATGTTACATAGCCCAGCATACTCCAACACAGCATGGAAGAGAAATAGACTTTCTTTCTCTTTTGAGGCAGAGTCTCGCTCTGTCACCAGGCAAGAGTGCAGTGGCATGATCTAGGCTCACTGCAACCTCCGCCTCCCGGGTTCAAATGATTCTCCTGCCTCAGCCTCCTGAGTAGCTGGTACTATAGAGGCACACCACCACGCCCAGCTAATTTTCATATTTTAAGTAGGGACAGGGTTTCACCATATTGGCCAGGATGGTCTCCATCTCCTGACCTTATGATGGGCCTGCCTTGGCCTCCCAAAGTGTTGTATACAGGCATAAGCCACCGTGCCCACCCATATTTTCCTTCTTTCTTGAGAGTATGTCTTCTCTCTCTGCCTAAACTATAAATAAGTAGCACCTCTGTCATCCTTCTTTCTTCCTCTGTGGGGTCCAGCCCAGTTCTAGGCACAGAAAATATACTTGCTCAGTGCCTTGGGATGTTAAAATATTATTTTGTTCTCAAATGAAAAATTCCATTAATGAAGGAGTTATCAAATATCCTTACCTTTATCCATCACAACGGATGCCCTGGAAAATCATTGAGTTTGAATAAATAGGTGTGCTTGCTGGGAAGGTTTGCTTGATAAAGGGCCATAAACGTTCCCCTCTCAACAGAGGCACTAAAAACAAAAGGAAGGTCAAACAAAACTTTGCAGGTTGTCATAATAAAAAGTCTTAATACTCCAAAACAAACACAAAAACACTATTACAAGTACCACAGTTGGAAGTAATGCTGTCTTCATTTTATTTAATAAACCCCGATAGAGCACTTATTTTGTGTTAGATACAATTCTGTGTGTGTGTGAGTGTGTGTGTGTGAGTGTGTGTGTGTGTGTGTGTGTGTGTGAAGGAGTCACACTCTATTGCCCAGGCTGGAATGCAGTGGCATGATCTCCGCTCACTGCAACCTTCACCTTTCAAGTTCAAGCAGTTCTGTCTGCCTCAGCCTCTCGAGTAGCTGGGATTACAGGCACCCACCACCACACTCAGCTAATTTTTGTATTTTTAGTAGAGACGGGTTTCACCATCTTGGCCAAGCTGGTGGCGATCTCCTGACTTTGTGATCCACCTGCCTTGGCCTCCCAAAGGCTGAAGATTATAGGCATGAGCCACTGTGCCCAGAGGGCTAGATACAATTTTAAGTGTTTCCCCAATTTTTTTTTTTTTGTAATGGAGGTTTGTTCTTGTTGCTGGAGTGTAATGGTGTGATCTTGGCTCACTGCAATTTCTGCCTCCTGGTTTCAAGCGATTCTCCCGCCTCAGCCTCCCAAAGTACTGGGATTACAGGTGTGAGCCATCATGTCCAGCATGTTTCCCAAATGTTAAATCATTTAATCACAATGTTTCTATGAGACAGAGTGCTGATCTTTTAGGACCTGTTTGCTCTCCAATTCCTAGATCCTTTCCCAGCTCTACTTTGTCACAAGGTGCCTGCCCTGCAGGCTGCATTTCTCAGGTGCATGTGAAATGTGGCTTCCAGTTAGATTCGTTAGATTCAGTTAATGGGAGGTAGTGATGGGAGATTGGAAAGCAGGCCAAAAGGAGAAGACACATTTCTCCTGCATAGTCTTTGATTCTGTGGCTTTGGGTCTTCCTAAAAAGGTCCAGTATATTTCCCAGGGAGACCACAGCCCCTATGGACCAGAAGCCCTGCCTCTTTCCCTATCTCTCTGACTTGGGGCTGCTAGAGGTTTCCTGCTGTCACTATTCTCTCAGTTGATTCACCATTCATCCTCTTGGTTTCTCAGATCTTCTGTTACCCATAACATCCATTTCCTTATTAAATTCTCCCCTCCTTTAAATGCTTAGCAGGTGTTCTGTTTTTCTGTTACAATCCTAACTAGTATCATCATCTCTATTTTACGTAAAAGGAAACAAAAGCAAGGTTAAGGAAATTTATCCCAAGGTCATACAACCAGTGGCAGAGTGATTCCAACAGGCAGCAGAGTCCATGGCATCACTATTAAATGGAAGTTAGAGATGATCCCTGCTCTACCTCCAGGAGTTGCCATATAAGTCCACAGTTAGCAATTTTGGTTTTTTTTTTAGAGTCTCACTCTTTCACCCAGGTCGGAGTGCACTGATATGATTGATCTCTGCTCACTGCGGCCTCTGCCTCCAGAATTCAAGTGATTCTTCTGCCTAAGCCTCCCAAGTAGCTGGGACTACAGGCACACACCATCCTGCCTGGCTAATTTTTAAATTCTTAGTACAGTCGGAGTTTTACCATGTTGGCCAGGCTGGTCTTGAACTCTTGACCTCAGGTGATCCTCCTGCCTGGACCTCTCAAAGTGCTGGGATAGCAGGAAGAAGCCACTGCACCTGGCCTCAAGCTTTTTAGTCTCAGGACTCATTTACACTCTAAAAAATGTTTCAGGGTCCCAATGTGCTTTTGTGGGCCTTATGTGGGATTAAGAGAAAAATCTTTAACATAGAGAAAAACAACCCATCACATTTAGAGGAACAACTATTCGAAAGAACATGGATTGCTAAGAAACTATGGAAATCAATGACAGTGCAATAATCTCTTTAGAGTGCTGAAAGAAAAAGCTGTAAAAACAGAAATCTAGACCATCAAGATTTTTTTTCTTTGAGATGGAGTCTCACTCTGTCACACTCTGAGGCCAGAGTGCAGTGGTGTGATCGTGGCTCACTGCAACCTCTGCCACCTGGGTTTAAGCGATTGTCCGCCTCAGCCTCCTGAGTACCTGGAATTACAGGTGTGTGCCATCATGTCCGGCTAATTTTTTTTTTTTTAGTAGAGACAAAGTTTCACCGTATTGCCAGGCTGGTCTTAAACTCCTGACCTCAGGTGACCCATGTGCCTCGGCCTCCCAAAGTGCTGGGATTACAGGCATGAGCCACCGTGCCTCACCAAATATTTAAATAAAATAAAAATATTTTTTAAATTTAAAAAAATTTTAAGTCTTTTTTCTTTTTCACAAAAAAAATAAACCTGCAATTATATATATTTATTTGTATAAATATATATTTATATGTGTACAATATATATATATAATTTTTTAAATAAATATATATATATTTTTTGAGATGGAGCCTCACTCTGTTGCCCAGGCTGTAGTGCAATGGCATGATCTCAGCTCACTGCAACCTGCGCCTCCCTGATTCAGGTGATTCTCCTGCCTCAGCCTCCCAAGTAGCTGGGACTACAGGCATGCACCACCATGTCCAGCTAGTTTTTGTATTTTTAGTAGAGATGGGGTTTCACTATATTGGCCAGGCTGGTCTTGAACTCCTGATCTTGTGATCCACCTGCCTCAGCCTCCCAAAGTGCTGGGATTACAGGTGTGAGCCACCGCACCCAGCCACAAAAATATTTTAAGATAAAATAACACTAGTAAAATGTGTTTCCAGAAAACCTGCACTAGAGAAATGCAAAGGAAGTCCTTCATGCTGATGAAAATGGTACCAGATTAGAAACTCAGGATTCAGGGAGAAATGGTATATATACATAGCAAATGGTATATGTATATCTCTTGGGAAATATAGATTATTTTTTGTCTCAATTTCTTAACTTATTTTTATTTCTTATTTATTTGTTTATTTTTGAGATGCAGTATTGCTCTGTCGCCCAGGTTGGAGTGCAGTGGCGCGATCTCAGCTCACTGCAACCTCCACTTCCCTGGTTCAAGCGATTCTCCGGCCTCATTCTCCAGAGTAGCTGGGATTACAAACACATGCCACCACGCTTGGTTAAGTTTTGTATTTTTAGTAGAGATGGGGTTTCATCATATTGGCCAGGCTAGACTTGAACTCCTGACCTCAAGTGATCCTACCTCCTCGGCCTCCCAAAGTGATGGGATTACAGGCATGAGCTACTGTGCCCAGCCTTAATTTCTTTAAAATATATGTGATTGTTTAAAGCAAAATTATAACATTGCTGGGTTTATAATCAGCAGAATCCTAAAGCTGACATGTACTAGCTCATGAGAACCAATTGTTACATTTTCAGGAAATTTTTGAACCAGCTGAAAATACACTGGCAACTTGAAATTGACCATGGTGGAACCATTTACACTATGGAAATCAGCAAACACTGTAAACTGGACCTTTTTCTTTAGATCTGGTTGTCCAACATTAACCAGCACATCATTGTTTATAATGTATAGAGATATGTTACATACAACTATAGCACAAAGGATGGAAAGATGGTCTTCAGGGATCGATATGACTGCAAGTTCTTTACATTATATGTGAACTGGTCAGTGTCAACTCTGTGCAGTGAAAAGCTGTATATTTTAACCTGTCAATTATGACTTAAAAATGCAAAGAGAAAGGGCTAAAATGACAATAGATAAATTATAAAGAAATTGTTTACAAAATTCAAATAGTCCACAAGTGGGGAAAAAGGGAGGGAAAGGAAAAAAAAGTAAGGGATAAAACAAGTAAGAAAATGGTATTTTCAGGCCACACGTGGTGGCTCAAGCCTATAATCCTAGCATTTTGGGAGGTCAAGGTGGGTGGGTCACGACGTCAGGAGTTTGAGACCAGCCTGACCAACATGGTGAAACTGTCTTTACTAAAAATACAAAAATTAGCAGGGAGGGTGTGGTGGTGCACACCTGTAATCCCAGCTACTCAGGAGGCTGAGGCAGGAGAATTGCTTAAACCCAGGAGGCAGAGGTTGCATAGACAATATACCTGTTCTCCACATCTAGGCAATACCATAATGGCATTAAATTAAATTAAACCGTGATAGTATTAAATTAAAAATTAGTAAAATATCTAGGAAGTCACAAATACTTGGAAATACAATCCACTTCTAAATAATCCATGGATCAAGAAGTAATCACAAGAATTAGAAAACATTTCAAACTGTGTAATAATGAAAGATAAGTTTCCAACGGGCACAGTGGCTCACACCTGTATTCTCAGCACTTTGGGAGATCAAGGCGGGTAAATCACCTGAGTTCAGGAGTTCAAGACCAGTCTGGCCAACATAGCGAAACCTCCTCTCTACTGAAAATACAAAAATTAGCTGGGCATGCTGGCAGTCACCTGTAATCCCAGCTATTTGGGAGGCTGAGGCAAAAGAATCACTTGAACCCAGGAGGTGGAGATTGCAGTGAGCCAAGATCGCGCCACTGCACTCCAGCACCGATGACAGAATGAAACTCTGTCTCCAAAAGAATAAATAAATAAAAGAAAGTTAACTCTCCAATACTTTAGTTACATCTCCACATTTATGGGATGTAAGTAGAGAGAGCTCAGAGGAAAATTAATAGTTTTAAATATTTATATTAGAAAAAATGGTCTAACACAATAAGAACCCAGAAAAAGAAGAGTAAATCAAACACAAGGTAAATAGAAGTTAGTATTTCATAAACATTCCTTCTCTTTCTTTTCCTTCGGACAATATGCAAAGATATTCAGAATGTTCTCATCACCCTCAAAAGTTTTCTCCTGCCTCTAAGAAAGAAAAGGTACCAGTGTTTGTGAGTGCCAAAATATTAAATTGTATACTTTAAACTGATGCAGTTTATTTTACTTAATTTATACCTCAAAAAGGTCGACTGAAAAACAAAGGACCCCTGAGATAAAAAACTAACTCCTTCGTTCTGTAACAGGGTGTTCTGTAAATTCAGAGTGGCAAGGTATG